GGGAAAGAGATACTAGTCAAGAGAAATAATCCCTGCATAGTGAAAAGGGAAATAGCTCTAAAAAGAAAAGTGATCCCAGGTCTGTGTATATAGAAGAATTTGGGGAACTAGTAGGCAGGAATGTACAACCAAATTCCCTTTGAGTGTCAGTGAAATGCAAAAACCTATGCATTTTATTTAAGCAGAAACTGAAAAGAAAGCCTCTCTCCTCAAAGTTTTAAAGACCTTATTGAATAGCAGAAACACTTATTTGTTGGCAAAAAATCTGTAGTTAGTGGGATTACAAAGTTACCTCAGTTTTTATCACCGGTTCACCTCATTCATCCTACCCCTACCTGATCTTTTCTCCTGTATTAAATAAAACATTGTTTATTGTGAACTTTCAAAAGCCTCTCGTGTGCCATTTCAGAAGCAGAAGAAGGTGATTTTGCCTCTTCCCTCAAGTCCTTGGGCTGGGTCAGCATCAAAACATATAGTAAAGCCACAGGGTGGGAAAGCCATAGACAAACAGATAAGACGATATAGGATCTGCTCAGCAAGGAAGAAAGGGAAAATCCTGCGCGTGGGGGAGGGAAGAGGGCGAGATTGCCATACAGCCAAGCACCTCCTTTTTAAAAAGAAACTCTGTGTGTGTTGTGATGTGCCACCAAGTCGCTTCCAAATTATGGCGACCCTGTGAATTAACACCCTCCAAAACATTCTGTTGTTAACAGCCTTGCGCAGGTCTTGTAATCTGAGGGGCCGTGGCTTCTTGGATTGAGTCAATCCATCTCACGTGAACACATGAAGCTGCCTTATACTGAATCAGACCTTTGGTCCATAAATGTCGGTATTGTCTACTCAGATTGGTAGCAGCTCTCCGGGGTCCCATGCGGAGGTCTTTACTACCTGATACTTTTATCTGGAGATGCCAGGGCTTGAACCCAGGACCTTCTGCATGCCAAGCAGATGCTCTCTAGCGGAGCCAGGGTCCCTCATGTTGAGTCTTCCCCTTTCCCTGCTGCCTTCAGCTTTTCCTATCATTATCACTGGTGGACCTCTTGAGGGCACCTGGTATTTTTGGCCACTGTGTGACAGAGTGTTGGACTGGATGGGCCTTTGGCCTGATCCAACATCGCCGTCTCTTATGTTCTTATTATTGTTTTTTCAAGTGACTGTTGTCTTCTCTGAACCTGACCAAAGAAACATGACCAAGTCTTTATTCCCTCTCCATTTTTAAACTTTAATTTTTATTTTTACATGGTTTCTCACAACAATCTACAAATAATTTCCCCCCCCAAGCACTTCTTACATAGAAACTTTAAACCCCACCTCTAAAAAGTAACACTGTACAGCCTGCCCCCCCCCCCCCCCCCCGGCAAAAAACTCCCCCCCCCTTTTACCACTCCGCCCAAAACACCACCTTGTCACCCCACAAGAAGAGACACCCTTTCCAGTAAACACCTTGCTCTCCCCCACACACACACATACACACGCATCTTGCTTCCGAGATCAAGCATCTGGGACTTCTTGGGAGGCTTGAAAACAACATCATAGGAAACAGGAACGTTTTTGTTCCCCCCCAAACCAAAGCTCCCCCCCACATCGCTACTGGGGGCTTCGACAGGTATTTTTAAGCTGCTGTTTGTGCTTGGATTGAAGGAATGAGACCAAGAAAGTCAATCCCTACTGAGGACCCTGGCAACATCTTGGTGTCCATCCAACTGTTTCCTGTGGGTGGGGGTGATAGGAGTTTCCCTCTTGCAGCTGAGGTGACCAGCTTTGGTCTTCTCCCATACTGGGGACGGGACGGGACAGGAAGCCTGATTTATTTGTGCACTGATTTGCTTCAGAATTGATCTACATCTACTGGTTTAAGAAAAAGAAAAACCAAGTCTCCATTGCGTACACATTCAAGGTTTCGCTCTTGTTGGCTTGACTTCATTCATTCTTCCATATATATATAAAACCTCGTTCCCTGACTGGAATTTTCCATCTAGCTCTCCACCAGAATTCATGTCGTCACACGGAATCTGTGATCCATTGAGTGAGAATCTATTTTGGATCTGTTTCTGAGGCACTGGCCTGAGGGAACTTTTTGTGCCTAGAAGCAACCAGGCAAAACTGGGACATGTAAGACTATGCGCTGGCCGGGGTTGCCAACTTTTGGTGGGCAGGGTTTTGGTGAGCAGGAAGGCAAAAGGAGGGTTTTTTTGTAGGGGGGGGAGGGTAATGTGTGTGTGGAGACAAAAAAATGCAAAGGGACAAAAAAAAGTGCTTTTTCAGTTCATCTGCTCTCAGCGCCATGACATGCCTGTCTTTCTCTACAAATTGTCTTCAGGGAAGAGGAGGACGCTGCTTTGGTCAGGGAGGCCTGAAGGTTTGGAAAGACAGATGATGCAGCGGACCTACAGAACCGGGAACCTGTACAGAAGGGAGGGGGGTCGGCAACTAGAGGCCGGGAGTCATATCCGGCCCTTTGAAGACTATCAGCTGGCCCAGGAGGTGCATTGTGGGGGAAATGGCACCTGCAGACACAGGCCTCGCTGCTAATTGAGTTTTGGGGGGTGGGCATCAGGGTGGGTAGTGGCCCAGCTCCACTCCACTCCTTCTTCGGTGGCCCCTGCCAGGAAAACCAGTTGCTAACCAGGGCTGTACAGCTATCTCGCAGCTACATTCCAGTCCCTCCCCTTAACTCTGCCCCTTCAGCTATCCTCGAATCCTCCAGACGCTTCATGCCCCTGATGTTCATGGCTGGTCAGTGGCAGAAAAACAGAAATCTCAATACAAGGTGCTTTTGCAATGGTTTGCCGTTTCCTCTCGTCGTCGTTTCCCGTCTTTTCAGGGTGTGGGGGGAGACGAAGGCAAGACATGAGGTATCTCAGCAGGGAGGGGTAAGTCGCTTGATTTCCCTACTTGCCTCTTCCTCTTCCGCGTCGTCCCCCCTCCCCATGGTCAGTCGTTCCTTTGGCAAACGCGCTCCTTCGCTTACACCCGCCTCAAGGGTCGGAAGCCGCGGGGTCGGAGCTTCATCTCGGTGAAGGGGATGGAGTACTCGAACCCTTTCCAGTTAAACCAGTTGATGCCCTGGGACAGGGGCAAGGGGGAGACAAAGACAGGGTCGTGGTTAGAGGATTGTACACGAGTAGGAAGCGGCCTTTTATTGAGTCAGACCTGGGGATCGTCCAGCTTGGGATTCCCTGTTCTCATTTATTTATTTATTATTTGTATTTGTACCCCGCCTTGCCTGACAAGCAGGCTCAAGGCGGCTAACAGATTAAATAACATAACAAAAGTTAAAACAATTAGTAAATACAATATCAGCTAAAACAACAGCTACAGTACCAACTATGGTGGTAATCCAATCAATCCCTAGCTAGGGGTAGTAGCTCATGGGCGGTGGCCCTCCAAGACTTACAGCAGTGGCGGGCAAAGATGGCTGCCAGTGGGAGGTCTCTTGAAATAGCGGGAGATCTGGCAGCCCCAACCAGGACAAAAGACACTGAGGGGCTGGCATACCTAAGGGACTGCCTCCCGGAGAGCCTTACGCTCTGCTGACCAAGATCTGTTGGTTATCCCCGGCCCGAGGGACATCCGTTGAGCATCAACCAGGGCTGGGGCGTTCTCTGCCCTGGCCCCGGCCTGGTGGGACATGCTCCCACATGAGATCAGGGCCCTGTTGGACCTCTTATCGTTCCGCCAAGCCTGCAAAATGGAGTTGTTCCACCAGGCCTTTGGTCAAGGCAGCGGGCGTCCAGAAAAATAGTCGGCCTCCTCTGCTGAAGACACCCTTTTTATGTAGCCTGGATTAAACAAACCTAGAATCCAGCGGCACCAGTATCAGAGAGTGTGCTGTAATTGGTGCAACCTGTTTTTAAATTCTTGGTTTTAATGTTTTAATGAACTATTTACTATTACCTTTTTGTGATGCCGAATGGCCTAATTATTTGTTGTGGTCCACCCTGAGCCCGTTCGTGGGGAGGGCGGAATATGGATTTGAAAAATAAATAAAACAAAACAATGACCAGTTATAATATCCTGGGGCAAATCGGGTCAGGTTGGGTTTAAAAGCCTGCCGTGGGTTTATGCCCCGCCCAGGGCTGCCATTTTGAGTGACAAGGTCCAGGGCTGCATCTCCGTTTCCCACCATTTGCCTCCTTAGAGAAAATCCTCCCTGCTTCTTTGTGCCCCCCCCTCCCGTGTAGCACTCATCTCTTTATTCTATGGGTGTACAAAAGACTTGACCTCTAATCTGGACCCGTAGTAGACTAGTGTTTCTGAATGGCTCTTGGATATACATCCTGCATTGGACCTAACTGGAAGGAGATTGTAGCCATCATAGTGCGATTCTGCATCTAGCATTCATTCCACATTGTCTCAACTGGAAGGGAAAAGTGCAGCTCAAAACCACATTCAGATACCTCGGGGGCAACGCCATACTGGCTGCAAAGTCACCCCTGAACGCCCATAAATCTATGCAAAAGTCACGCAGGGCTCTTTTCGTAGCAGGAGCTCCTTTGCATATTAGGCGACACACCCCTAATGTAGCCAATCCTCCAAGAGCTTACAGTAGCCCCTGTAGGAAGAGTTCTGTAAGCTCTTGGAGGATTGGCTATATTAGGGGTGTGTCGCCTAATATGCAAAGGAGTTCCTGCTACAGAAAGAGCCCTGGCAAGGTACCCTAAAACCCAATGATCAAAAAAAGTGAAAGTGGCATGCGATGCAGAGGGGGATTTCTGTTCCATCACGAGTTTCGTAAAACAGTGGAGGGAAAAGCCAATGCAGAATCGCCCATAATAGTGTGTGAAGAAACAGCAATTTGAATTTGGCATCGATTGAGAAATACAGCCAGAGGGGCAACTGTGAGCCGTGTGAAAGGAAAACCCCTTGGGGTGTCAGATTCTTTCTCTTCCCCTCTCTGTGAATCTCATGCAGGATCCCCGACAACCTGGGGGGGGGGGATGTTCTCACCCTTTAATAGAGGCTTAGAAAAATGTTCTCTCCCTCCATGCCATGAAAAGTTTCAGCTGCCCAGGAAGCCTCTCTTAAAGGGACTGGATTCTTTTCCTCCAGGTTGGTGGCAACCTGACGTGACGTGGGGCAGTTGATCCATGGCCCTACAGGAGTGCTGTTTCATCTCCACTTGTGCCCTGATTGTATCTTTGTGAATTAAGCAAGTATTACTATTCCATTCTCAACCAAATGCATTGAGCGCTGCTCCTGGAACTCTTTAGGGGAGGGGAGAAACACGGAATAGGGTCTTCTGAACTCTTTCGGTTGCTGCTGCTTCTCTACATAGATATTGACTTTGCACCTTGAAAAGCTGCAGGGCCAGTGGAAATGGGGGAATCCGTGCTTTCCCCATCATTATATCCCTGTGCTGGGGAATGCATCGCCTGTTGGGATTCCTGCCTGTCACTCAACTGTAAAAAGCGCTCCAAAGTCTGTCCGCTTAGGAGGACCGGCAGGCCTTTCTCCCCTCCCCCCCCCCATTTGGCAGGTACCTGGTGGTCGCGGTTGTTTGCGTAGAGCCCGTTGAGGTTGGCGTAATGGCAGTTGTGGTACCACCACGCTCCACGGTAGGACACGGCGCACGGGATGATGACCCGGTTGGGGTCCCGGTCGCGGGTGGAGAAGACGCTGCCTGAGTGGTAGCTGAAAGCATCACCTACGGAAACGAGAACCAGGGCGTGAAAGCCAGAACAGCTCTCCCTGGTGCTTTTGGGGATTACAACCCTCCCCAAAAAGTTTCATAGAATCATAAAATCGCACAGTTGGAAGGGGCCCTACAGGCCATCTAGTCCAACCCCCTGCTCAATGCAGGATCAGCCTAGAGCATCCCTGACAAGTGTTTGTCCTTAACCTCACCCTCAAATTCTGCACAGGAAATTTGTTGGAGGCAAAGGATTGGAACACTGCCCCATGCCTCGGCTTCCTACGTGGCAACAGAGTCCAGCTGCGAGTCCCGCACTAAACATCCGTGTGACCACGACCTCCGATAACTAGAGAGGGCAAACACCCAGCTTCCTTCCTGTGTCTACTCTTCTGCCACTGCCCCTTTGATATCCAGACTCTATGCTCAGGGAAAACTTCCTTCCTTCTGTTCATCCTCTCCCAGAACTCTCTTCTCCCTGCACTCACCACGAAGGAGGACATGCTGTCCTCATCATCAGAACATAAGAGAAGCCAATGTTGGATCAAGCCAATGGCCCATCCAGTCCAACACTCTGTCACCCTGAGGCGAGGCTGGTGTCCAGGCCCGGGGCTTCTGGAAAGGCCCACTGCTGCTAACCTCTTGCCCCCGTGCCCGCCCTGCCACCTGCCTGTTCTCCCTTCCCCCATTTTCTGGGCTCTCTTTGCCACGTGCACCATCCAGCATCATTGGGGAAGGACTTGTGGATGATGCAGAGTGGTGGTGGTTTTGGCAATGACTGTGGTGACACTGCCCAGCCACACGCTGACTAGTGCCACTGGAGAAAGTGCCCGTGGGAAGGCTTGTAGAACACTTAGGCAGACAGGCGGGCAGAGGAGGGGAGCCCACCCCCACCCCAGGCATTCTCTGCCCAGCACAATCCAACACCTGGAACCAGCCCTCCTGCAGGTGATAAAGTCCGGCTTCATGCTATTCCAAGCTTTGCTGGCTGGTCACCAACGAGGACCTCTGATAAAGGGACGAGGGAGGGCCATGTCTATCACTGCCTTGCTCACCGGCTGTGCCGCTGTAGCTGCCCAGGTGCAGGCGGTAATAATCGGTCGGGGAGTCCACGCGGAAACTGTCGTAGAGGGCGTAGACGGACTCGTTCTCGGAGCGGAGGTCCACACGCAGCTCGTAGTCTCCTGATGTGGTCAGCTGGTGCAGAGCATCGTTCCCTGGAAGCAAGCAAACATCAGTAGGGATCCAGCTTTTTAACCCTCTTCTTCCTCCCTGCAAGTGTCAAGGAAGTCCAGGGAAGCCTTACTTGGGCTTAAATATGCCTGGGAGGAGAGGGAAAGGGAGACTTCCTGGAAATCCTAAGCTAGTTTGGAACAGGGGAGTCCAGCAGACCTGCGTTTGCGTTCCACTGCTCAAGGTCTGACCATGAACATATTAGATATCTTATCTAGAATTAATTCTTTGATCCCACGGTGATGACAGTTTCCGTCGAACTGTCACAATCCAGTGTTTCCCATGTTGTCCTCCTGTCGTTTTTGCAGTGTGGTTTTTGACTTTCAACAGTATCACAGTTCTAGCCTATCCAGTGTGGGCTGGCAAAGTCCTGTCAGTGCACCTGAACATAGTTGCACCAGCTCAGTATTGTCATCTTGGCCTGGCAGTGACTTGTCAATGTCTCGGGCACCCAAGGGCTTTTCCCAGCAACTTCAACTCGAGATCCTTAAACTGGAGGTGCTGGGGACTGAATCTGGGACCAGCTGCATGCACGTAGTTCCCCTGAACCCTCTCATCATCAGTTACGTGTAGCAACCTAATCCAGTCCCTTACACAGAGAATCACACCTGACTCATGACATCAGGCCTTTCTCTGCACCCAGCTCCTCTCTTTTCCACCTTCTCCTCTTCTTTTATAACTTCCCTGACAAATATGAGGAAAATGGTTTCCTCTTCATTGCATCCGAGGAAGCGAGCTCTGACACACGACTCAAACTGGGATAAATATAGCCGTGGAAAACAACAAGAGTCCAGTAAAGGTAAAGGTAAAGGCTCCCTTGCTCGAAAGCCAGTCGAATCCGACTCTAGGGTTGCGGTGCTCATCTCCGTTTCAAAGCCGAAGAGCCAGCGCTGTCCGAAGATGTTTCCGTGGTCATGTGGCCGGCATGACTAAACACCAAGGCGCACGGAACGCTGTTACCTTCCCACCGAAGTGGTACCTAGTGACATCAGGCCTTTCTCTACACCCAGCTCCTCTCTTTTCCACCTTTTCTTTTATAACTTCCCTGACAAATATGAGGAAAATGGTTTCCTCTTCATTGCATCCGAGGAAGCGAGCTCTGACACACAACTCAGACTGGGATAAATATAGCTGTGGTGGAAAACAACAAGAGTCCAGTAGCACGTCGTTATTATTCTAAGGTGCCACTGGATTTCTGTTTCCTTTTGTTCTGCCACTGAGCCACAGTCACACCTCAGTTGCACTTCCTGATCTGTAGACTGGGTATAACCGTGAAGGTGTTATAGAGCCTGGAGGATGCCACTGTACCTAGCCAGAATTCCTGGGAGCGGTTGCCAAAGCCAGTGGCGTAATCCTGCCAGTCACGCCAAAAATCCGTCTTGCCGTTCATCCGGCGCTGAAAGACCTGAGGAGGAGGAGAATATGAAACCACACGTGAGTGAACTGAAGTGTCCATGAGCAGACAGCCTTGGGGAGTTATTCTGTCTGTATGAATACTTACCCAGGGGACCCAAAAGTCAGTGCCAAGTCTGGCTGGATTCGGAGGCCTAGAAGAACACTGGCATGCGTTTGTTTCACGTCATTTATTCTGTTTCTTTTAGAGACAGGGAGGTGCAAAGTGCACTGCTATCTCACCCCCTGACCTTTAGACAGTTTTGTCTTGCCCCCTGGGATTCTAGCAAGTGCAAGCCATGCGTTTCCAGCCTTGAGGATTAGAAACATGAATCTTTAGCAGTGAAAGCACAGATTCTCGGGATGTCGTTTCTGCTTTGTATGGGGAACAGAAATGTGAAGTCGGAACAACTCTATGCCTGCAGCCCTGCTGCTATGCCCAGACAAAACCCTCCTGAGGAAGTTCAGCAGATTATATGAGGTCATGAATACAAGTGGTTAAACCCAGTTAAAAATTACCATCAACCCAGTGGATTTGGTATACTGCTAAAAGTTTGACTTGATCTGATGATCTGGCTTGTCAATTGGTGGCTTGTTAAAATTTTTGTTGATTTACTGATGGCTTCTTTGGAAGAGGGGATATCTGTTCCATCAGACTTTGAGTGGTTTATTGTACCTATCTATCTATTTCACCCCTGCCTCAAAGATAATCTGGGGCTAAATGTGTTAAATCATCTATATTCCTAGGACACTCCATACATATTGGCAGAGTTCATTTAATCTGTTTCAAGATCAAGCATGTTTTTAAAGGTGGTTCTCATACATATGAGATTATGCGGTTACAGCAGAGTTCAGTATGTTATAATATAGTTGGGTTATGCTTATTTTGCTAGTGTTGTGATTGTTATACATTCTCCTACAGATTTCGTGTATTTTGCACTTTGATATGTATTGTTATTTCAAAAAGTTTTGTTGTTTTATTATGTTTTTCTTAATAAAAATTAAAAAAAAGATAATCTGGGTGACAATGATATAGGACTTTCAGTGTTCCAAATTTGTCATATAATTGCAGTCATAATCCTTACAACAGCCCTGCAAAGTAGATCAGCAGTGTTATCCCCATATTACAGATCGGGAATGGGACTGAGAAAAAAATGATTTGGGAAGGCTACCTAGAAATTTGAGGCATTGACTTCCTGGACCACAGGATATAGTTTAAAAGTAATAGAGTAATAGAATTTATTCTTAGATTTTTACAAGGTTACAGTAATAATCTTCTAAAAAACCTAATTTACGCGATAGTCAAATGTAGGCTCACTCACAACTTTAATGCTAGTAGCTCTTTTGGCTTATGAAGTAGAATTTTTGCTCAAAACACTCTACAGTCTAGAGGGAACATTGATTCTCCTTCCTCCTGACATTCTATCTTCACAACAACCCTGCAAGGCAGGTTAGACTGAGAAACAGTAACTGGCCCAACTGTTACTCAGTGACGTTCATGACAGCTGTGGGGATTTGAACCTGGGCCTCTCAGGTCCTCACCTGACAGTCAAAGCTGGTATTTTATTTTTTATTTCACTTCACCAGATTTATATCCCACCTTTCTGCCATCACAAGGGCCACCGAGGTGGCTACAACATACATAACAAAACCACATTTTAAAAGCATATCATTAAAACCATTAAAAACACAGCTAAATATATATACAGCCCCTCTTCTTGGGTTGTCTCCCATCTGAGATGGTGGAGCCACCGAAAGCAGGGCTTCTGAAGATGACTCTAGCGGTTGAGCAGGTGCATAAGGGATGGGGTTACCAACTCTGGGTTGGGAAATACCGGAGATTTTGGGGGGGTGGAGCCTGGTTAGGAAGTAGTTTGAGGAGGGCAGGACCCCAGTGGGGTACAATTTCTTGACAGCTTTGAGACACACACCTCACCATGTGCACCCGTGTACCTGTCACCCCCCACCCCAGCAGCCTCTTGCCTTCCCTCCCTCGCACCAGTTGCTTGTGGGACAGATAAGAGCACTGGACGGGCTGGTTCCAGCCTCTGGGCCGTACGTTTAACACCCCTGATCTAGGAGAATCAACAAGGTCTTACCCCACATCCATCCCCTGGAGCAGGTCATCAACCAGGGCAGCCAAGTCTGCTTCAGTTCAGTAACCAGGCCTAAACCCAGACTGGAAAAGATCTAAACAGTTGGTCTCACCCAGGAAAGGTTGGAGTTGTCCAGCCATCACCTGTTCAATCACCTTGCTCCAGAATGGACCATTTGAGACTGCTCGATAGTTATTGCAATCTCCTGGGTCCAGGGTAGGCTTCTGTAGAAGCGGGCGCACCATAGCCCTTTTCACCCTGTCCATTTCTGGATCAGGATTTGTTTTATGCAGAATGCTGCTTTGAATGAAACTCGTAAATCAACAGGTTGCAATGAAACTCGTAAAGGAAAGTCGAAGAAGGAACACCGATTCCATCCCTCCCCCAGCCACACCCTCCGCCCTTACCAGCCAGGCTCCACCGTCGGTCTGCATGTCGCAGTAGGCCTGTATGGGGCGGTTCCGGTCACCCCCCAGATAAATGGTTGTATCTCGAGATGGCCTTGGTCCGTTCCAACTCTCCTCGGCGCAGTCCCGAGGGAAAGGATATGTCAGGTGCCCTGCCGAGGAAAGATCGTAGATGAGAACAGAACCTCTGTAATCCGGGGTACTATACCTTAGAATTCTAGATGCTGAGGACAGGCTATGGATATAATTACCCACACTTTATTTATTTTGGCATATTACCCACATCACTTTTCTCAATGCACTCAGAGGGGTTTCCCGATAAATCAAGAATCAAAACAACTAAATCTTCACTCACTATGTGTTAATAATATTAAAATCAGTATTTATCGGTTTCATATTTGTATCCTTCCTTCAAGGACCTCTGGGTTGGAAAAAACTTGGAGACTTTGGGGGTGGATCCAGGAGAGGGCAGGATTTGGGGAGGGGCCTCCGCATGGGACAGTGCCACAGAGTCCCCCCTTCAAAGCAGCAATTTTCTCCAGGGGAGCTGATCTCTGTCAGCTGGGGATCAGTTGTCAAAGCGGGAGATCTCCAGGCCCTGCCTGGAGCTGGCAACCCTAGGACAGCAGATATGGTGTGTCCCCCTGTCATGACCCCAGCGGGTCTCCACTGTCTGCTGCCACCACCCTGGACTTCGGGTCTAGGGTTGCCAATCCTTGCTGCGGGGACAGCGAGACGCGTTGCACCCGCCGTTGCCAGGATCTGGCGCTACGCATCGCTCTGGCAACGGGGCTGCAAGGATTCTGTGAAGACATGCAGATCACCCGCCTCCTGGCGACGGTGGTGCAACGCGTCTCGCCGTCCCTGCGGCAAGGATTCTGCAAAGACATGCAGATCCCCCGCCGCGATTTGGCGAGATTTGGCAGGCCTATTCGGGTCCCTTGAGAAGGCCCAGGGTACCCTCCCAAACCCATCCCAAAATGCCCCCTTTTAAAAGCTGAGAACATAGGCATGATGACCAGGCAGAGGACAATTAAATAGAAAGAGCTTATTATCACAGTACTAGGGCAAGGAAAACGAGACAAGGCGCTTTAAAAGCTATAACAGTGTTTAAAAGGCAAAATAAACAGAATCTAAAGCAGCTACCTATTACTCCTTAACTGTTAGTACTCAAGCCCTACAGCCTTCTCATACTCAGCCTCCTGCCGGGATCTTCCTCTCACCAGACCAGCCTGTCCCTTCTGCGAGATCAGACCGCAGATGAGAGATGAAAGAACACCGACTACTTCCAGGCCCACAGCCTGCCAGGCTACACTACCTGTACTCACTCTCTCCAGTGAGGGATCTTCCTCTCACCAGACCAGCCTGTCCCCTCTGAGAGACCAGACCGCAGATGAGAGACGAAAGAACACAGCCCCCTTCAGTTTAGCTCTGCGAGAGGAAAGGACAACATTTCCCACAGTTAACAGCTTAAGACAGAATCTCATCGCAGAATCTTTGAACTCTGATTGGCTATAACCCTCTCTAAGCATTATGGGGATTGTAGGCTGTCTGCTTTCTACTCCCATGCTGGTCTCTCCTGGTACCAGGCCGCACCAGGCCCTGCTCCCAGTCCTGCACAGATCTCCAGAGGCCTACACAGATCATGACACCCCCTCACACACACACCCCCATTTGATCTTCACAACACCCCTGTGAGAAAGGCTAAGCTGAGAGGGAGGGAAAGGAAGATGGTGTGACTGATCTAAGGTCACTCAGAAAACTCTGTATCCAAGGGGAGATGTGGAGCCAGGTCCCCACAATCTTTTCCTAGCGCTCTAACTCCTCCACAGCATGGCCTGTCTTCTTGGTTATGAGCTTCCCTGGGACATCTGGGTGTCTGCCGCTGAAGACGGAAAGCTGGATCAGATGGCCTGACTGAGCAAGTAGAGTAGAAGACTGCCTTAGTAACATCCAGGATAGACTACTGCACTACATAGTACAAGGAGCTGCCTCTGAAGACTCTCGAGAACCCTCGCATGGGTGAGAACACGGCAGCCCAGGTGGTTCACGTGGACCCCCTCGAGTGCACATTCCTGAAAGAGCTCAAAGGTCTTCTACGCTGGCTTCCAGTTTGTCTCCGGGTGGAGTTAAAAGTGGTAAGAACATAAGAACATAAGAGATGCCAATGTTGGATCAGGCCAAAGGCCCATCCAGTCCAACACTCTGTATCCCACAGTGGCCAGAAATACCAGTGCCATCAGGAGGTCCACCAGTGGGGCCAGGACATTAGAAGCCCTCCCACTGTTGAACCCCCCCCCCCCAAGCACCAAGAAGACAGAGCATCACTTGCCCCAGAGTCCCTATCTATACCTTGTGGCTAATAGCCACTGATGGACCTCTGCTCCATATGCCTATCTAATTCCCTTTTGAAGCCGTCCATGCTTGTAGCCGCCACCACTTCCTGTGGCAGTGAATTCCAAGTGTTAATCACTCTTTGGGTGAAGAAGTACTTCCTCTTATCCGTTCTAACCCACGGGTTCTTGTATTGTGAGAAAGGGAGAAAAGTACCTCTTTCTCTACCTGCTCTTTTCCATGCATAATCTTATAAACCTCGATCATGTCACTCCTCAGTCATCTTTTCTCCAAGCTAAAGAGCCCCAAGTGCCTTAACCTTTCCTCATAGGGAAAGTGTTC